ACTATACTCTGTTTTTAAACCAGGAGGAGTATTTTAAATTTGTCACCAGATTGACCTTGCACGTGATTGGTTGAATGCGAGGAAGGTTCACACACAGGCAATTTTGAATTTTGATTTTGAATTTGAAGGTTAGGTAATTGATAATTCGACAGTTTCGTGTCATTATTGTATATTTTGTGTTCTTAAACCCTTTTTTATTATATTTTGAAATAAATACACTCATAACTTCAATGTTAATTTGTATGTATAGTGTTGACGATAACAAACGAAAATAAATACAATAATAAGTAAATAAATAAATAATAATTATTAATTTAAATTTACCGCCAAAATATCTAGTGATATTTTCTGGTGATTTTTTCCAGTGTAAATCTGACTTTCGCGTTTACTCCTCCTGGTTTAAAAACAGAGTATAGTTTTACGATATTTTCAATTTTGGCCTCTAGGGGAAAAACGAAAGCGCTTTGAGGTTTTCGACATTGGAATGTATTTAAAAAAAGAGATCAAGACATGTAAGCCACTTTTTTCTAACTTTTATAGTTTCTGAGATAGCCTATTTGGACATTGAATTTGAACCACTCTGTAGAAGATTAAAAAAAAACAACTTGTTAAGACTTTGTTAATCATGACTTTGTCCTGTAAACTTCCTAAGACTTTATCCTTTACATCTTCGAACTTTACTTTACACTTTTGTAAAAAAAACTGTTCTTGTTTGAACTTGCAACAAATGCTCAACACAACTTTCAACACAATGGTGTTTTACTTTTAAACTTTTTGCAACATCCAAATCATCAATTTGTGTTTTAACAAACATATTCTGATCTTGTTTACTTACCAAAGGATTTATTTTACATAAAGGACAAAGATCCATACTTCTAAATGAACAATTTTCAGGTTTTGGAGGTCGCCTATTAATCCTCCTTAATTTTTTCATTTTCTTCCTCGATATTAAATTACCATCAGAATCTTCATAATGCCTTTTACTATTCTTTTTAAAAAAAAAAAGCAAATATTAAATCTTTCTTAAATCAATTAAAAAAATCTTACCAAATCTTCATTAGCCTTCTTTTCCTCAACTTTTTTCAAATGCTCCTCAGGCGGTAATCGCACATAAGGCTGGCACAACCATGGAGGTAAAATCAAATTAAAACTTCCCTTTTCATGGGTTTCATCCCAAACTAATTTACCATCATGATAAGGTTGATATAAATCTTTTAATTCACTAACTATACATTTAAATTGATCTAATGTATTTGCAGCACCTAATCGTATCCTAAGTTGATTGTTGGAGGAAATTGATAAACTAAAATTGTTTTGATTAAAAAATTTGATAAATTTTTTTGCAATTAACTAACACATGATGAAATAATTTAAATAAATGTCCGCGTATATAGGAAAATGGGCAAGGATATTTATCAACTAATTCTAAATATTCCATGGCAGGTATCCAAGCTGGTGGTGATGTATTTTCAAATAAAAATGGGTTGTGTAAGTTTCCTTCAGCAGTCATAACACCAACACAACCTGTATATTCAAGACAACGATGAATATCTTGTAGGCATTGTATATTTCCGTTTGAAATAACAGGAATATTAACAACTTCTCTACAAAAATCTCAATTAGATTTAATTTTCTAATTTTTTTCTTAAATAACTATTACCTCACTGCAATAACATAATCCCAATTAGCTAACCCAGTTAAAGGTCCTTTTTGTTCCCTAGTTCTCCCATGAACAGTTAACATTTTACAACCAGCATTTTCCAACATTTTTGCATATCTAACAGTTTTCTCCATATCTTCAAAAACTCGAATTTTACAAGTTACAGGAACTTTTAATGATTTACTTAACGTCGACACCATTTCATGTAACAATTCCCACTCGTCTTGCAAAAAAGATCCATAGTGTCCTCTTTTAGCTATTGCCTGGGGACATCCTAAATTTATGTCAATTGCACAACAATGTTCTTCTGCTAACAAAGCAGCTTCAAGCATTATCTTCGGATCGTTACCACAAAACTAAAATGCGCCTTTTTATTTAATTTGTTATGTTAGAAATTTTTAAATAGATACAAAAACTTACTTGGACTATCAAAGGGTTATCTTCACCGCAAGAAGCTAAAGACTCCTTGCGATACTTGGGATCTTTGCAAAATACCGCGCTATGTAACATAGGGGTGTAACATAATTGCGCACCATGACGTCGACATAATAACCTCCATGGTAATTCGCTTGCGTCCACCATTGGGGCAACTATATTTACCGGCTTTTTAAGAGTATCACTCCAAAAATCCATTTTATGATTTAGAAATGCTTATTACCTTGTTCATAACCTATTTGACGTTTACGTCATCTTTGTCGCACTCGTTTTAAAAACCAATGTGAAGTTAGCACTCCTTTTCTAATCACATGCGACCCAAAGGCAAGGTGACCAACCATTAGAAACAGAAAAGTCACTCGCGCGGAATTTATAAATAAATAATCGATAAAATTTGATGTTTTTATGGGATTTTACGACGGGAAAGCGTACAAATGATGAAAATTGGGTTTGTTCGCATTCAAATAAAGTAGCGGTCGTCATTGAATAGTTCCCATTCTTCGGAGTGCTCGTCATTTTTGTTATAGGTTTATTGTCGATTTAGAACGGATTTAGTTTACGATTTGAAACGGGGGCGTATGAAACTATTTTCGGGGTAATTTTTCATCTACTTTTAATTTGTGAGATCAGAGGAATGAAATTCGAAAACATTTTTAAATGTGCTACCAACCTGAATTATTTAATTTTTAATTTTTATTAAAATTTGTTATTATTAAAGTGTAATGTTGTATAAACAAGAACATTAATTATATAACACGGAATTTGCGGCATTGTTACATTTTATTGATATAAAAAGATTGAATTCTCCATCATAAATAAAATAAACTGCGCCATCTTCCGGTTGGAAATTGGATTAAACAGCGCGGTTAATTTAAAATGTTTTTTGCAGTGATTTTTAGGGAATAAAACCATTTCCTAAAAAATAACAACTTTATTTCTTGTCAACGTTATGTAATTTGTTCTTGTATTTTAAAAGCACATCCAACAATGAATATAATATTAATAAAATTTGTTTTAGAATAAACATTTAAATATAAGGGAACATGACCGCTAATACACGTATCTTCATCTCCTTTATTTTTGTATCTAATCGGGATATGTCTTTTGCGGCGGTCGTTTCTTTCTTTAATTAATCTATTTTTTATCTCTTTGTAATCTCTTCAAAATGGACGTGTACAAGTTCCCGTGGTAAGGGTACAGTTTTGTCTGGACGGCGATGCTGGGTTAGAAAGTCCACTCTCCCTTATTGGAGACAACGTCGGGGTCTTCGTTCTGTGGACATTGCTACGTCTCCTCCTCCTATATTGAGGCAACGTCCTCCTGCCTAAACAACGTTGTTGCTGCTGCTGTTGCAAAGCAGTCAAAGCATTGGTCAATTCCACCTCACTAATCATCCTTTGTCTTTGTGGTGGAGGAAGAGTCGGAAGTTGAGAAAGGTGAGGCTGATGATTTCTTTGATCCGGCAAAGATGGAACAGGCACCAGGTTACTTATCGTTTGAATCTGTTGAGATTTATCCGAATTATTGCCGTCTTGCGATAAAGGGGCAACTTGGTTATTCTTGGCAGGTACAGTCTATAAATAGAGAAAAAGAAATCGTTAACGAAAAGGACAACGGCCTCTTTAAGAATTACAACACCTAGTTTGATGACGTCGGTTACTATCGATTTGTTTTTGTATGTAGTAGTTATACTTTTTATTCTGATAAAATTCAAGGTCTATTTTGCATACGTGGAAACCCTGAAAACTAAGGGTTGTAATTTATGGGTTGAAATAGTTGAAAAAGAAAATGTTGAGGGGTAGATATAGAGGTGAATTATGAACGAGGAGAATGAGTTAGATGCGGAAAACGTAAATAGAGCCATTTCCTCTATACTAAACGACTTTTCATTTCTTTGTGAGGGAAGTTTGTTCGTTGGAATTTATGGATCTAATTGAGTATCACCTAGCAACAGGGTGTTAAAGATCAATCAAATGTGAATAAAATTCCTTTTTTAATATTGGATTAACTAATGGCTTGTTTAATTATGTACTACGATTATGGGGAAGTACTAATAATGATAAAATAAAGTGTTAAAGATTGAAATTCGATCAACTTTTATAAACCAAAATGGAAATTGAAATTTAGAGGATCGTTTAGCACCCTTTTAAATGTTAATGAACAAAAAATTGTGCGTGGACGTTTTCAATCAAGTTCTAAAAAAAAATTGTAAAAGACAGTAAATTGGAATACACGATGGATTTGTACGATTCAAAATGGAAATTAAAAATTAGAGGATCGTTTAGCACCTTTTAAAACGTTGGTGAAAAAAAAATTACTCGGGGATGTTTTCAAATAAGTCCTAAAAAAAATTTGAAAGATAGTAAATTCAAAAACGAACTGATCCATTTACGATAAAAATCTAAATTTGACTGATTTTTCGATTCAAAATTGAAAATTTAAAATTGGAGAATCGTTTGGCACACTTCTAGAAACTGGTAAACCAAAAATTTTGTTCATGTGGTTTCAATTAAGCCCTAAAGAAATTCCGAAAGATGATAAATCGGAAAAATGGATCGATTTATGATGAAAATCAAAATTCGTTTGATTTCTGCAATCTAAAATGGAAATTAAAAGTTTTAAGGAAATTTCGAAACATAGTAAAGCTGAGATCTTACAAGAAATCTTGTGTAGATACATATCCAACGTATACAGTGAATTTTACTTTATGCCCGGTTCACATTGTTCCAGTAGCATTCCAGTCCAGCGTTGGAAACTTACGCAAGAATGCTACTGGAGTAATATGAACCGGTACTGCAATGTAGCCATTCCAGTAAGCAATCCATTGCAGTGACTGGATCGATGTGTACTTTTTCATTCCAGCTCGCCCATTCCGGAGCCACTGGAATAGTGTAGACCGACAATGCAGTGCTGGATTGCGAATTCTTAACGAATCGATTAAGAATCCACTGGACTGGATTGACTAGACTGGAATAATGTGAACGATATAATCCAGTCCATTACTGGACTTGATTGATTCGCTGGAATACTGGACTGGAATAATGTCCTAGAACTAGAAACATTCCGTTTAGCAGTATCTTTTTTTAGACGGCTGGTAGCTGGCAAATGATTTTAGTACTAGCTCTAATGTTAGTTCTAGTGACAGTGCAAGTGTAAAACTAGAACTAACACTATACCTAGAACTAGAATCATTCGGGTTTAGCCGTCTTGAGAGACGTGCGGCTAAATCCGAATGTTTCTAGTTCTAGGTCTAGTGTTAGTTCTAGTTTTATTTCAGTAAAAATGGACAACAATTTAGCGCCTGTAGTTTCGTAACTATGGTTACTGCATTCATATATTGCGAGTTATATACGGACGATCCACAACTACGGCGATCACTAAAATGGTGGAAGAAATAGTAAGAGCACATGACAAACAAGAAAGGCAACAATTAATCTGTTGTGACTTGAGCCGAGCATTTGATATGGTTGATCATCAACAACTATTGAATAAACTCAGTTTTTATGGAATAAGAGGCATAGCACATAAACTAATGGTGTCATATCTATCAAATAGGATACAGTGCGTTGGCTGGAGGAATGAAGTCTCAGATCGAAGAGCGTCGAATGAATGTGTACCGTAGGGCTCCATACTTGGGCCGATACTCTTTGTGTTTTACATGAATGACCTGCCGAGTTGTGTGACGACTGCTGCTTCTTGTTTGTATGCTGATGACACGACTTTCATAATACGAGGTCCTACACGCGAGGAAATTGAAGTAAAATCTGAACAGACGCTTAAGACAGCCGTTGATTGGATGAGTGCTAATAACCTAATCCTCAACGCTAACAAAACCCAGAACATTAACTTATTTAATCATATAGAACATAGTACGGTGATGTTTCTGGGTGTGTGTATGGACAGTTCCTTTACCTGGGGTGAACACATTAACTTGCTGTGCAAGCGTCTTGCGTGTGCGGTGTTTGTAGTGCGCAGTGTTGTTAGATGTACCGATCAAAACGTCGCGAGGATGGCCTACTACTCTTGTTTCCACTCTTTGGCAAGCTATGGAATCTCGATATGGGGATCAACACCTGGCTTAAGAAGAGTATGATGTGTACGTGTATTGAATAACTTAAAAAATACAGACAGTTATAGAGAGACTTTTAAAAGTCATAAAATATTAACGATCCCATGCGTTTATATGTTGGCATGTCTAAATTATATTCATAACAACAAAATCGATTTTCGATCTACCTCACAGGTGTATAATTACAATACACGACACAGATCGTTCTTCGAAACATCGATTGAATGTTACTCAGCAAGAAGTGGATTACCATGGCACAAAAATGAATAATAGACTACCACAACCCATTAAGTCATTGAATGTTGTAGATTTTAATAAAATTGTCAAAACGGTACTTATATCGAATTCCTTTTATACTGTTAAGGAATTTCTAACAGCTAACAATGACGTGTTTGCTGTTCAATAATCAATATCAACGTAGATTGTAAGTTTTTGATGTATTTTTTGTTGGTATGTATGTATTTTTGTACGTATTTTTTTTATCCCCGATTTTTTGTATTGTCTTTATAAGTAAATAAACTGATATGATTATATTATATGTGATATTACATATGAAATTCCCGGTATACGTAATTTGGGTTGCGGGGATCAGGAAGAGTCAAAAGAAACCGATAACAACTTTACCAAGGCGTTCTAGAGTGGCGTAATTGTCATTACCACTCTCTAAAATAATTTAGGAGTACGAGAAATGAAAAATTAATGTTGATGATAATGGGAAAAAGAGAACGCTAATAATAAATTAGACGAAGCAGGAAAGGGAGAAAGAATTCATGGTTATCAGCGACCTTAACCATTGTGAAGTTCCGGTGGCAGATTTCTACGAGGCCCTTCTTTGTGCAAGTGCAGTGTGTTACAAAAGTCTGGGAGCCTAATTTTGATGTTGTAACTTTGTTCGTTTTTGTGGTATGAATGTGAATATTTGCTCGGTTGTCCGTCTTATTGTTACTAAACACTCCTCCAAAATCCAAAGGATGCATTTTCACAAGGAGTTTCCCGTAGAGGTATTTAATGCACTATCAGTCTTTGTCGGGAGACCGGTAACACCGAGGATTGTCCCAGAAGTGGAAGACCAAAGACTGCCGTAACTTCCACCATGGTCAAGCATGTCTTGAACAAGATCTGTCAGAATTCCAAAAAGGGTCTCAGAAAAATGGCTAGGGAGCTGAATATCAGGTGAATGTGCGTGGTCACTACGTTTTGCAGTTCAAATCATGGTTTGGGACGGAGTCACTTCGGCCTGGAAGACACCGTTGATTTTTGTAAACAAGGGAATCAATATCAACTCCCAGAACTATTCCTAAGGTGGTTCAGCACTACTCGCCTGATTTTAACGCCCTCGATTTTCCCTATAATCTCGACAGTCTGAAGCGCACCAATTAAAAGGCATGAGACGATCTCGACATCGAGTCTATATGAATGCGAAGGGTGGATACTTCGAGCTTTGATTGTATATTATTGTTTTCATCAACAGAAATATCGTGCTAGCGAACTTTTGTGACACCAAACTTTTACAGGTGCTTAAATAAAGTCTAGAGTTCTTCTAACAAACAAAAAAAAACAAGCACTCCAGCACTTCCTGCTTCGACTTCCAAAAGACTAAGTGCAAGGAAGCCTAGCATAGCTTTGTAATTATATAAGTCAAGTTCTCAGCAATTATGCACAACACGAGAAACGTCTACGCTATAAACGAAATTTTTTATTACTTTGCCAACAATTTTATAATCATATAGCTCAATTAACCTTTCTATATCCATAAAGATGCCGTTAGTCTCACTTGAATCTGAGTCAAATATTAATTTTTCTATGGCCACCGAAAGATAAATTGTGGTTGAAGTAAGAGGATGGGAAAAGAATATTGTGGACGTAGAGGAAATAGAAAGCGAGGAATAACACCTCTCTAATGTCGAAGATGCGAGTCATCATCCACACCAATTAAAGAGAGTTGAAAAGAAGAAAAGGATGGTGTTTTATAGATTGAGGCCTGGTTAGAAGTTATAGAGAGGAGAAAGATGTTCCTAATGGTTTTAAACAGGACTTGGAGCGATTTTCTTGTCAGTGGGTACAAATTATAGAAGAATTAGATGTAGGACTGCCATTTTTAACTTAGTCAGCAAGAGCAGACTGATTCTTCATTAACTTGCTGAATAATGATCAGATAATTCAAAGGTCCACTTCTAACCCTTTTAACGTAAATTTAAAGAAGCATCATGGTCATATAAGAGTCCGACCAAGACACCGCGAAGATGAATGTTGAATTTTCTGTTGTTAGGGATGTGCATCAAACTGTGAGGATTATGATATGGAGTTTTATAGCTTATAGGAGTAGGTCCCGTTTAGTATTCTTCCGAAAAAATATAAACCCCCAAGGAAATATTTCCAGAGGATAATAATCAAAGCGATTTCCCGATTTCTCGTCTATCGAGCATGGTTGGCACATTATGTGGAGGAGATCGAAGAACTTGTTGCATCATCCACAGTCGCAGCAAGCTTAATAGAATGAATTATGGTTGTTTAGGACACAATACTTCAATCTTAGGAATCAAAGTCACGAAGAGTGTGTGACCAATTCGAAAAGACGAAAATATGAAGTATTATGGAGACACGAATCTCTTTTGTGGTGTTTTCAAAATTTTAAGGAGGAAATACTTCATTTTAAGCAGCTTCAACAATTTTAACGATTAAATTAATTTTAAACTTTAAATTTTAGTTTAAAAGAAATTTTCCTCTTCTAAAACAACCTCCAATTCAATAAATTAAACAGTATTACACGTTAAAGGGTAACGTTTGACCTTTAATAAATGCAAATTTACATATCCAAGAGGTCACCGTTGTAATCAGCGATTTAATAATGAACCCATTTTTATGATAATACAATTATATTCTCTCCTTCTAATTCAAACTTTATACACCTCTATAAATAAAACTATGCCATTAACGGCAACCTTCCTGCAGTCCTGCGGCATGTGTCCAGTGACCCAATGCGTAATCAAGCTCCAATTGACCATCAAATAATCGATAGGAAATATCAGCTTATTATAGAAACTCAACCGCAACATTAAATATTCATAAATTTAGCTTTATAGTTAAATCAAAACTATAATGTTAAATTAATTAACTAAATTGAACTTATTTATTATGTATAGCACAAAGTTGCATGTTGATAAACAATAAAAATAATCGAGATTGTAATCTTATAATCATGTGCAATAGTAATAACGTGAATGTTTCAAAATGCTTTTAATTAAATTGAAAGAAAGCGTAATCAATATACTCCTCTTACCTTTTGTTGTCTACTTCTATGGTTTCCAAAATTACTTAAAACTCGAAATAAAACTCTCAATTTAGCACTGGACCAATGACCATGAGTCCGATGATTTCGTCCTTCGATGGCGGGAATTTTTTTACGCATTTTATGTTTACAAAGTGACATCAAACAACGTGGTTCTAACGGGCTATCCGGACTATCCGGCACGGAAACGCAACAATTCCATTTTTGTTTAACTTTTTTGTTGGTTGGTTTTTCAGTGGGAGCGATGGAATTTTGGTTGGTCACGCAGCTATTGCAGTCTTGGGGAGTGGTTGGAGGTGTTGGGGTTGGTTCAACGCATGAAACGGTTTCTTCAATCACGGTGCAAGTGTAAACTGTCATTCTAGAACGACCCTCGCATAAAAGATCTACCGGGCGATGTCTTAAATTGGAACAATTTCGAGTATCTTCAGTTGGGGGTGGTTGTTGGGGTTCTTGTGGTTGTTGCGGCGGTTGAGGTCTTTGTTGGCGAATGTATTCGTAAGTTGTTAAACCGAGGAAGGAGATGTAAATGTGAAAGAAGCAAAGGTGGAGGAGAAGTCCTGCTGTGATCGCCGCGAGGAGTCCGAGTGCTGCTACGACGGCTAAAAAAGCGGCGTCTGAGGATGGTAAAGATGATTGAATGGGAAGCGTTATGTTATCTGGTTTTGAAAACCATCCGGATTCAGTTTGGTGGAAAATTAATTCGGCTATTGCTAAAATAGCGACGAAAGCCGCTGCAGCAACCGCCGTTGATACGCACATAAGAAATGTTACGTAGTTTCTTGCACCTACGCAATGATTCAACCACTTACAATGATGATCAAACCCTTCAACGCACTTGTTGCAAGCTCCGCAATGTTTCGTTCTGTCACTTGTCGTTTTTATTTTGCATAAATTACAATTTCCATCTTCGATAACGTGGATGTGTTTCGATCTGTCCAATTCAGGTACTGGAACCGGAACGTTTTTTCTTAATTCCGGTTCGGCTGGGTCTACTAAAGATGCACCTAAATGCGATGCCAAATGTAATAGGAGCAACGTTGATAGAGTTGCCAAAGCTCCCGATTGCCAATTTGGTGGTAATGCGGGAATGACCACCAAAAAAGAACCGGTTGAAAGACTTGCTATCGTTAACCAACCGGAAACTTGAAGTGGATGCAACGGAAGCTGAAGGCCGTGCACTCGTCTCAGCTTCCGTATGTTGTCAACCGAACTCAGCATTGCTCATTGCTGTATTGGAACACGAGGAATACATCACCCGCACACCAACCACCTTGCCAACTGTTTGACATCCACCGACTACACGCACGTGCCCCAAGTGTTTTTAACTAACGACTCATAACGAATTCTTCCGTTTTAGTTATTGATTTTTCAAATCGAAGTGGTCGCCATCTGTTATGGAGAATTTAAAACTTTATGGATTATTTTAAATAAGAAGAATTCTGTTTATTTCCAAATATGTTTTTGTACTGAAACGGTGTTCTGTTACTAATTAAATGTTACGCAATCTCACTTTCTTTTCCACGTGGAGTATCATCAATCCTTTAATTAAATCAGTTATGTAACATTGTTTCAAAAATAAGACAGGATTTGTTGTGGTAAACTGAATCAAATTTGAATTAATTATTAAAATATATTTATAAAGATTATTTTTATAACAATAATCTTAAATTAAATAAAATTACAAACTCAACGCATTTTTATAAGATTGCAAAAATTCGCTTTTAATAGCAGCTACTTCTTCAGTATCTTGAGCATGAGAAAGTTGTTGTACGGCTTCCAACAAAGCTTCATTACTTAAAGGAACAAATTCTTCTTCTTCACTTACGCGAAGGCCTTTTCCTTCTTTTAGTGGTGGAAGAAGACTTCTGATGTTGCTCGAGATGGCTAAATGGGCGTTTCTGGCTTGAACGACTTCTGGTAATTCTTGTGGGATGATCGTTCCCGTAGGAACGAATCCCTCAGAACCGGCTGTGTACGAAACTGATTGTTTATCACCGGAATCATCTAAGTAACTGTAGCTGCCTTTAACGGTTCCATCATGATCCCTTTCTTCATTGATGGTGATGTTTTTCGAGATGAAGGAGTACACGTAATGGCCAGCATTGTCGCTTGCTACTTCAACTATGGCTTGGTCCTCAACTGGTTTTGAGAGACCCACCGCAAATAAACCGATTAAAACGATCTAGAAATTAAAATAAAATTAAAAATTAATTTAAAAACTTAAATTAAACTTACGAAGAATTTCATTTTTGTAGTTTTGTTTTGGGTTGGTGTGGTTGTTGAAAGATGGTAAAGGTGAGTATGATTATCCCAAACTAAGAACTGCGCTTTTATAGTAAAGTAAAAGTTGTTCTTCTTTTTGATTGTTAGATTGTCAAATTGTTTAGATAAGAAGAGTAAGGTCACGTTATTTCAAATTTTTGGTTAATTTGGTTTTAATACGAAACAAGTTACGTCACGTTTTTGTTTCTTCCTCATTTAAGTTTTATATTAAAAATTTTTGTGTAATTTGAAATAAATGAAATTCAAAAAATCGTATCTAGATTATTTCTGGGAATAAAGAAATGATATATATCTTAAATTTGTGTAAAAATGTCTTCTTTAAAATGATGTATAACAAATTATTGATTATGTTGTAAAATTTTTGGGAAAAAGCTTTTAGAAAAATTGTTGGAAAAAAAGGTTGGTTCTAAAATGCGTCAATTTAAAAAATCATATCTGTTATATTTCTAGAATTAAAGAAATGATATATATCTTAAATTAAAGCTTAAAATGTCTTCTTTAAAATGATATATAATAAATTATTGATTATGTTATAAAATTTTTGAGAGAGAGCTTTTAGAAAAATTGTTGGAACAAAAATATGTTGGTTTAAAAATTAGTCGATGTCAAAAAATCATATCTGGGTTATTTATGGGAATAAAGAAATGATATATATTTTAAATTAAAGCTTAAAATGTCTTCTTTAAAATGATGTATAGTAAGTTATTGATTATGTTAGAAAATTTTTGAGAAAAAGGTTTTAGAAAAATTGTTGAAACTAAAATAAGTTGATTTAAAAATGAGTTAATTTATAAAAATCATATCTCTTTTATTTCTGGGATTAAAGAAATGATATATATCTTAAATTAAAGCTTAAAATGTCTNCTTCCTCATTTAAGTTTTATATTAAAAATTTTTGTGTAATTTGAAATAAATGAAATTCAAAAAATCATATCTGTTTTATTTCTGGGATTAAAGAAATGATATATATCTTAAATTAAAGCTTAAAATGTTTTCTTTAAAATGATATATAACAAATTATTTATTATGTAATAAAATTTTTGAGAGAAAGCTTTAAGAAAAATTGTTGAAACAAAAATAAGTTGGTTTAAAAATGAGTCAATTTCAAAAAATCATATCTGCTTTATTTCTGGGAATAAAGAAATGATATATATCTTAAATTAAAGCTTAAAATGTCTTCTTTAAAATGATGTATAACAAATTATTGATTATATTGTAAAATTTTTGGGGAAAATCTTTTAGAAATATTGTTGAAAAAAAAAGTTCGTTCTAAAATGCGTCAATTTTAAAAAATCATATCTGTTTTATTTCTGGGATTAAAGAAATGATATATATCTTAAATTAAAGCTTAAAGTGTCTTCTTTAAAATGATATATAGCAAATTATTGATTATGTTATAAAATTTTTGAGAGAAAGCTATTAGAAAAATTGTTGAAACAAAAATAAGTTGGTTTAAAAATGAGTCATTTCAAAAAATCATATCTGTTTTATTTCTGGGATTAAAAAAATGATATATATCTCAAATTAAAGCTTAAAATGTCTTCTTTAAAATGATATATAACAAATGATTGATTATGTAATAAAATTTTTGAGAGAAAGCTTTTAGAAAATTTGTTGAAACAAAAATAAGTTGGTTTAAAAATGAGTCAATTTCAAAAAATCATATCTGGTTTATTTATGGGAATAAAGAAATGATATATATTTTAAATTAAAGCTTAAAATGTCCTCTTTAAAATGATGTATAACAATTTATTGATTATATTATTACATTTTTAAGAAAAAGTTTTTAGAAAGATTGTTGAAAAAAAGTTAATTTTAAAACTAGTCAATTTCAAACATTGATATCTGGTTTATTTATAGAAATAAAGAAATGATCTATATCTTAAATTAAAGCCTAATATGTCTTCTTTTAAATGATACATAACAAGTTGTTGGGTATATTATAAAATTATTGAAAAACATTTCAGGAAATTTTTATTAATTAATTCAAAAATGGGTAAAAATAAACTTCATTCACCTGTATCTTAAGAATCAAGAGTGATTTTCCAAAACGCAGTGCATTATTAGAAAGTAGATGGTTTTATTAATAATTTGGTGAAATTCCCATAGTCATTTAAAAGTTAGCAGTTTTTACCACTTGTACCAAATTGTACCTTAAGAATCAAAAATGATATTTCAAAATTGATTTGATTATTGGAAAATAGATGCTTTTATTAAAAATTTAGTGAAACTGTCATTATATACCATGATTATAATGAATTACAGTACTGTTCAGTGGGAAACGAAAAGTTCTTTATGCCAACATACAAAGATATCTAGCTAAATCTTTCTAATAGGATTATTTGTAGGGATGACCTTGTTACACTTTTTATATCACAAATTAAACCTTAAAAAAGTGTTGTTATGGCGATTCACATTTGCAAAATAAATTGTTTGAAGTAGAAATAAAAACTAATCGAATGGATTTTTGTTGTTATAGCCGCACAAAGCGACGCGAACATCAACCGACACAAAAAAAGAGAAAAATTTGTCAATTCCAATCAGAATTGTCGTAATTGTGTTTGATTTTTACTCTGATGAGTTTGGTAGCTGGTGTAAAAGTTTTGCTAAAACATAATTGTTTGTAACTTTTACACTATTTTTAAACTTATTTTTTTCTTTAAAACATGATAACCAAATTTAATTTAAATTTATCTTTCCATTTAAACTTTTTGACTACCTTTTAAAACACGTCTCGTATTTATTATTTGATAAAATCATGTATTACTTTTCATAATAGAACATTTTTGAATTAAAATTTCTTTCAATTCTTTTTTGTTAAAAATATTTAGTAGACTTCCTTGGTGATTTTAAATGTAATCATAATTTTAAATTTCAAACCATTTTGCTTAACAAAAGAATAGACATAAATAAATATCAAGAAACTGGATTTTTCCACAAACATTTTAAAGTACTTTAAAAGATCCATTTAGAAAAAAATCGCTTAATGTAAGTGAAAGGAGATCTTAACTAAATATTTGAACTAAAAGTAGAATTAATACTAGACCTAGAACTAGAAACTTTCGGGTTCAGCCACTTGAGACAACTTGAAAAAACAACGAATTCCCTAAATTTTAATATTTTCACATTTTTCTCGATGATCTATGCGTCTAACTAAGAGCAAAAGTGTAAGAGATTATTCTCTTACGCTTTTGCAACAATATTATTATTGTTAAGAACAAATTTGCTACCACTTTTGATCTAAAAGCTTTTTTGTAACATGCTTCGATTCAACAATTTGAAAAAAACAGCAAATTGCTCAAGTTTTCATATTTTCGTACTTTTCTCGATATTTACGTGTTGGAGAACAAAAGTGCAAGAGAGCAAAATTGTTCAGAATAAAATTTGGTACAACTTTTGTCCCAAAAGATTTTTTGTAACATATTCAAGTTCCCCAATATTACCATCAACAAGTTGAAAGAAGAACGAATTCATCAAATTTTCATATTTACGTATTTTTCTGGGTATCTATGAGTCTGAGAGCTAAAGTGCAAGAAAACAATATTGTTAAGAATAAAATTTGCTATAACTTTCGTTCCAAAAGTGTTTTTGTAACANTGTTATAAAATTTTTGAGAGAAAGCTTTTAGAAAAATTGTTGAAACTAAAATAAGTTGTTTTAAAAATGAGTCAATTTATAAAAATCATATCTCTTTTATTTCTGGGATTAAAGAAATGATATATATCTTAAATTAAAGCTTAATATGTCTTCTTTAAAATGATATATAACAAATTATTGATTATATTATAAAATTTTTGAGAAAAAGCTTTTAGAAAAATTGTAAAAACAAAAATAAGTTGGTTTAAAAATGAGTCAATTTCAAAAAATCATATTTGGTTTATTTATGGAAATAAAAATATGATATATATTTTAAATTAAACCTTAAAATGTCTTCTTTCAAATGATGTGTAGCAAGTTAGTGATTATGTTAGAAAATTTTGGAGAAAAAGGTTTTAGAAAAATTGTTGAAACTAAATTAAGTTGGTTTAAAAATGAG